CTCAGCAAACTAACACAGGAACATACCAAACACCACATGTTCTCACTCCTAAGCGGGAGTTTAACATGGAGAACACATGGACACAGAGAGGGGAACAACACACAGCAGGGCTGTTGGGGGATCCAGGGGTGAGGGGAAGGAACTTAAGAGGATGAGTCAATAGGTGCAGCAAACCACCATGGCACATGTATACCTATGTAACAAACATGTACGTTCTGCACATGTAGCCCATTTTATTGTTTTGGGTTTTTTTTTTTTTATGGAAGAAATACAGGGGAAAAAAAACAGTATTTATAAAGGAAATGTATCAGGTTGGGTGTGACGGCACACGCCTATAATCCCAACACTTCAGAGGCCAAGATGGGAAGATCACTTGAGGCGAGGAGTCAAAGACAAGCCTGGGCAACACAGCAAGAAGACTCTGTCTCTACAAAAAAATCAAAAATAAAAAAATAAAATATTTAAAAAGGCAATGTACTGATGAACAAATGGCTAAACTATGATGCATACATTTTTTTTTTTTTTTTTTTTTGAAATGGGATTCTTGCTCTGTCGCCAGGCTGGAGTGCAGTGGCTCGATCTCAGCTCACTGCAGCCTCTGTCTCCTGGGTTCAAGCAATTCTTTCTCCTTAGCCTCCCAAGTAGCTGGGACCACAGGCGTGTGCCACCACACCCGCCTAATTTTTGTATTTTTAGTAGAGACAGGGTTTCACCATGTTGGCCAGGATGGTCTCGATCTCTTGACCTCGTGGTCCACCCACCTCGGCCTCCCAAAGTGCTGGGATTATAGGCGTGAGCCACTGCGCCCGGCCGATGCATACATTATTCTGCCTTAAACCAGAAAGGAATCCTGTGTCACATGCTACAACATGGATGAACCCTTACACATTATGCTAAGTAAAATACGCCCCTGACACACACAAAAATACTATATGACTCTATATGAGATAGTAATCAAATTCATAGAAACAGAAAGTAGAATGGTGGTTACCAGAGAGAGAGGAGGAGTGGGGCAAGAAGAGTTGTTGCTTAATGAGTATGGAATTTCAGTTTTGCAAGATGAAAAAGTTCTGGAGATTTGTTACACAAAATATGCATATACCTAAGACTACTAAAACACAGACTTAAAAATGTTAAAATGGCAAGTTTTATGGTTTTTTTTTTTAATTTAATTTTATTTTTATTTATTTATTTATTTTGTTTGTTTGTTTGTTTTGTTTTGTTTTGTTTTGTTTTTTGAGACGGAGTTTCGCTCTTACTGCCCAGGCTGGAGTGCAATGGCGCGATCTCGGCTCACCGCAACCTCCGCCTCCTGGGTTCAGGTAATTCTCCTGCCTCAGCCTCCTGAGTAGTTGGGATTACAGGCACGTGCCACCATGCCCAGCTAATTTTTTGTATTTTTAGTAGAGACGGGGTTTCACCATGTTGACTGGGAAGGTCTCGATCTCTTGACCTCGTGATCCACCCGCCTCGGCCTCCCAAAGTGCTGGGATTACAGGCTTGAGCCACCGTGCCCGGCCCTTATGGTTTTTTTTAACCACAATTTCAAACAGACTTAAAATGGCTGGCTGACCACGGTGGCTCATGCCTGTAATCCCACTTTGGGAGGCTGATTATGGGTGGATTATGAGGTCAAAAGTTCGAGACCAGCCTAGCCAACGTGGCAAAACCCTACCTCTACTAAAAATTAAAAAAAAAAAAAAAAATCAGCTGGGCATGGTGGCACATGCCTGTGATCCCAGCTACTCAGGAGGCTGAGGCAGGAGAGTTGCTTGAACCCAGGAGGTGGAAGGATACAGTGAGACAAGATTGAGCCACTGTACTCCAGCATGGGCAACAGAGTGAGATTCCGTTTCAAAAAAAAAAAAGGTAATGTTTGGGTGGGGCACGGTGGCTCATACCTTTAATCCCAGCACTTTGGGAGGCCGAGGCAGGCAGATCACGAGGTCAGGAGTTCAAGACCAGCCTGACTAACATGGTGCAACCCCACCTCTATTAAAAATACAAAACTTAGCTGGGCAGTGTGGCATGCACCTGTAATCCCATCTACTTGGGAGGCTGAGACAGGAAGATCACTTGAATCTAGGAGGCGGAGGATGCGGCGAGCCAAGATTGCGTCACTGCCCTCCAGCCTGGGCAACAGAGCAAGACTGTCTCAAAAAAATAAAACAGTAACGTTCATTTGGGAAAAAAAAATTCAGCAACAGAGTAGGATATTAAAAAGTAAAAAGGCCAGGCATGGTGGCTCACGCCTATAATTCCAGCACTTTGGGAGGCCAAGGCAGGTGGATTGCTTGAGTCCACGAGTTCTAGACCAGCCTGGGCAACATGGTGAAACCCCGTCTCTATTAAAAAAAAGAAGAAAGAAAAATAAACGTTCAGAAATAGTATGGGTATATAACAAGTACACAGTTTCTCCCCGTTTTTTATACAAATGCTAACACTACTACACCAGTCATAAATACTATTCTGTACCTTTCTTTAGTTTTCTCTTAATTACAGATTTTGGAGATTGTTCCAAACATATCAGTGTGTTTGTATATACCTGTGACATTTTTCTTTTCCTGCATCCAACCATCCATTACTTTTTGTTGTTGTTGCTGCTGTTGTTGTTTTGGGGAGCAGGGGGATAAGTTCTCTCTTGCCCAGGCTGTAGTGCAGTGGGGTATTTCGGCTCCCTACAACTTCTGTTTCCTGGGTTTCAACAATTCTCCTGCCTCAGCCTCCCAAGTAGCTGGGATTACAGGTATGCACCACCAGGTCCAGCTAATTGTATTTTTAGTAGAGACAGGATTTTACCATGTTGGCCAGGCTGGTCTCAAACTCCTGACCTCAGGTGATTCGCCCACCTCAGCCTCCCAAAGTGCTGGGATTATGAGCCACCTCACCCAGCCAATAAAATGTATTTTTAAAGTAAAACATATTAAGGGCTTTGCACATCAATTTTGCATAGCTTTTCCCTAAACAAATACATTCAGGCCAAGCATGGTGGCTCATGCCTATAATCCCAGCACTTTCAGAGGCCGAGGCGAGAGTACTGCTTGAGACCACTTAGAGACCAATTTGGGCAACACAGTGAGACCCCATCTCTGCAAAAAAATAAACAGAAATTAGCCAGGCATAGTGGCACAAGTCTGCAGTCCTAGCTACATGGGAGACTGACGTGGGAGGATGGCAGGAGCTTGGGAGGTTGAAACTGCAGTAAGTGGAGATTGCACCACTGCACTCCAGCCTGAGTGACAGTGATAGCTAGACCCTGACTCAAAAAAAAAAAAAAGTTCAGATTTCACTCTTTATATATCCTACAAGAAACTTAATGATTGATGTTTTCTTTGCTTTGACTTGAAATAACATTTCACCTCAGCTCATTCTTTTTTAGAGACAGGTCTCACGCTGTCACCCAGGCTGGAGTATAGTAGTGCAACCTCGGCTGTCTCTGAGTCCCAAAGAGCTGGGATTACAGGCAGGAGCCAACGTGCCCAGCCAAACTCATTTCTACTAGGCTGTATGTGTTGGCTTTACCGGTACCACAAGGAATCACGGATATGATCAAGGAAATACATGAAATACACATCATCCTCTCAATGCTATGGTCACCTTTTATAATTCTGCTGTCTTTATTAATGGCTTGTGAAAAGTATTCATTTTACTGTATTGAACTCTGAGGAAATTTTTTTTTTTGAGACAGAGTCTCACTCTGTCACCCAGGCTAGAGTTAACCTCCACTTCCCAGGTTCAAGCAGTTCTCCTGCCTCAGCCTCCCAAGTAGCTGGGACTACAGGTGTGTGCCACTGCACCCAGCTAATTTTTGTATTTTTTGTAGAGACAAGTGTTTTGCCATGTGGGCCAGGCGGGTCTGGAACTCCTGGCCTCAAGTGATCACCTGCCTCAGCCTCCCAAAGTGCTGGGATTACAGGCGTGAGCTACTGTGCCTGGGCTCTGAGGAAATATTTTTTTTAAGTTTTTTTTGTTTTTTATTTTTTGTTTGCGACGGAGTCTCGCACTGTCACCCAGACTGGAATGCAATGGTGCGATCTTGGCTCACTGCAATCTCCACCTCCTGGGTTCAAGCAATTCTCCTGCCTCAGCCTCCTGAGTAGCTGGGATTACAAGAACCCGCCACCATGCCCAGCTAATTTTTTGTATTTTTAGTAGAGATGGGGTTTCACTACGTTGGCCAGGCTAGTCTCGAACTCCTGATCTCAGGTGATACACCCACCTCAGCCTCCCAAACTGCTGGGATTACAGGAATGAGCCACTATACCCGACCTTTAAGTTTTATTACCTAACTAATTTTTTTAAAAGCACTCTTTCACCTCAGTGTCTTTCAGTCTGCTGTTTTTTTTTTTTTTTTTTTATGGTAAATTGAATTTATTTTATTACTATTATTATTATACTTTAAGTTCTGGGATACATGTGCAGAACGTGCAGGTTTGTTACATAGGTATACACACTGATTGGTTTTCTTAGAGGGAGCATAGTGAGGTAGAAATGAGGGCTCTTCTATACATCAGGGTTCAAATATGAGTTCTGCCATTTCCAAGTTAATTAATCTGTTAGAGCAGCCGTCCCCAACCTTTTTGGCATCAAGGACCAGTTTCATGGAAGACAATTTTTCCATGGACAGAGGGGAGGGAATGGTTTCAGGATGATTCAAGTACATTACATTTACTGTGCACTTTATTTATATTATTATTATGTTGTGATATATAATGAAATAATTATACAACTCACCATAATGTACAATCAGTGGGAGCCCTGAGCTTGTTTTCCTGCAATCAGATGATTCCATGTTGGGGAGATAAGAGACAGTGACAGATCATCAGGCATTAGATTCTCGCAAGGAGCATGCAACCTAGATCCCTCACTTGCTCAGTTCACAATAGGTTCCCGCTCCTATGAGAATCTAATGCTGCCACTGATCTGACAGGATCAGGCAGCAATGCAAGTGATGGTTGTAAAAATACAGATGAAGTTTTGCTCACTCGCCCACCACTCACCTCCTGCTGTGCAACCCGTTCCTGATGGGCCACAGATGGGTTGGGGACCCCTGTCTTGGCGCCTCTGGGTTGTCACCTGTAAAAGAGAGTTATTACCATCTATCTCTTACACAGGTGAAATCACAACATACAGCTGAAAAGCCTATGAGGCCGGTCATGGTGGCTCATGCCTATAATCCCAGCACTTTGGGAGGCTGAAGCAAGTGGATCACCTGAGGTCAGGAGTTCAAGACCAGTCTGGCCAACATAGTAAAACCCATCTTCACTAAAAATACAAAAATTAGTCAGGTGTGGTGGTGCACATCTCTAATTCCAGCTACTTGGGAGGCTGAGCCATGAGAATTGCCCGAACCCAGGTGGCAGAGGTTACAGTAAGCCAAGATCGAGCCACTGCACTCCAGCCTGGGCAAGAGTTAGGTTCTGTCTCAAAAAAAAAAAAAAAAAAAAAAAAAAAAAAAAAAAAAAAAAAAAAAGTGTATAAGAGAGGAACAAAGTGCTACCTCTGTTGAACCAGCACTGCCTCAGAAGTCAAAGAAATACTTAAGGAAGTAGTAACGAACAAGAAGGAATCTGCCAAATTGACAAGAGAGAGGATGTTTCTCACAGAGGCAACAGTATATGCAAAGAGCAGAGCTGCTGGCACAGTGGCTCACACCTGTAATCCCAGCACTTTGGAAGGCTGAAGTGGATGGATCACTTGAGGTCAGGAGTTTGAGACTAGCCTGACCAACATGGTGAAACCCCAACTCTACTAAAAAAAAAATACAAAATTAGCCAGGCGTGGTGGCGGGTACCTGTAATTCCAGCTAACTGAGAGGCTAAGACAGGAGAATCGCTTGAACCCGGGAAGCGGAGGTTGTAGTGAGCCGAGACTGTGCTGCTGCACTCCAGGCTGGACCACTGCATCTCAAAAAAAAAACAAAAAAAGAGGCAATGGATAGTTAATTGAGGCAAAAAGCACAGTAAAGAGTGTTCCACAGGCCAGGTGTGCTGGCTCACACCTGTAATCCCAGCACTTGGGGAGGCCAAGGCAGGAAGATCACCTGAGGTCGGGAGTTCAAGACCAGCCTGGCCAACATAGTGAAACCCCATCTTTACTAAAAATATAAAAATTAGCCAGGCGTGGTGGCATACACTTGTAGTCCCAGCTACTCAGGAGGCTGAGGCAGGAAAATTGCTTAAACCCAGGGGGCAGAGGTTGCAGTGAGCCAAGATAACACCACTGCACTCCAGCTTGGGCAACAGAGCAAGACTCTGTCTCAAATAAAAATAAAATAAAATAAAATTAAAGAGTGTTCCAGGCAGAGGCTATACAGCACTGCAAAGGACCTAAGGCCAGAAACCATTGGAGAAGGGGTCAATGAACTATGAGCAGATGAAGGTGCCAGCAGTAGAGAAGGAGGAGCCTGGAATGAGACTTGACAAACACGCAGGGACCAGATATTGCAGGGCCTTTCAGGCCACAATTTGGGCCAAACTGTGCAAGACTTTATACCAACCTAAGACATCATGACTTGATTGTCTAAGTAATAGGAATGCAATAGAGAATTTTAAGAGGAGAAAGAAAAGATCAGGTTCTTTTGTGGGATGAGTGAAAAAATCATGGAGAATGGTCACAATGGGGAATTAGGACAATGTGGAGACCAAATGAGGAAGGCCTATACTAGGACAGGATTAAGGTATATGGTGATGAGAAAAACTCCAGAGACAGGTCTGAAGTGTGACTGATTAGCAGTCCTCAGGTCTACATTCAGGCCTGCTTTTTTAATCCAAGAAAAAGATCCCTGTAAACCCCAAAGTCACTAACCTGCCTTGGGGAATCATAAGCCCTTCCATCTAATCTGGGCTCTGCTCCTACTATGGTAACAAGAAAATAGGTGCCCATACACAGAGACAGTTACCCACTGTCCCCAGTGCATGACAGGCAAAAGACTCAAGTTCACAGGCTTTCAGGATCCAAGTAAAGAACTCAATATCTTCCCTGCCCCTTTAAGGGTAGAGAAATGGCAGAGGTCTTTAAGTCAAAGTTTTTCCAAATATGGTCTGGAGATGAAGACTAGTGTCAGAATTACCTGGGAGGCTGATGAAACTGCAGATTCCTGGTTACCATCCCATACCTAGTGAATTAGAGTATCTAGCAGTTGACACCAGGAATCTGCATTTTAAACAAGTATCCAGCACCCCTTCCCTCACCCTCATGGGTAATTCTGATGCACTAAAACTTCAAAACCATAGCTCTATGAACAGGGCTAAGGAAGAAAGGCCTTTACTTGAAGCTGGCTGTCAATGTCATAATTACAGTACTATGTAAAGCCAGAGTGAAGCTGGGCATTGGGTAAGTAATCTAGACAGAGCAGTCTAGATATGATGGCACATACCTATATCCTAGCTACTTGGAAGACTGAGACAGGAAGATCATTTGAGCTAAAGTTCAAGGCTGTAGTGTGCTATGATCATGCCTATGAACAGCCACTACATTCCAGCTTGGGCAACATAGTGAGACCTTGTCTCTAGAAAGAGACGTCTGAATGAATTATGGAATTTGAAGGTCCCAAAGCAGAAAATAGAAGGCAGGACATTACAGCACGTGACTTAAGAGAACAGAGCGAGCAAGCAAAGACAGTGAGCAGTCTTAGGGAAATCACTAACAATGATCATGACCTCCAGTTCTCTTAAGCTGGTTTTCCCAGCACAGCCCTAGGAAGGGAATGCAGGTGCCTCACCTCACAGAGACTAGATACCAGGCCACAGACTGCCCAGTCTGTGCAAATAACCACTCTATCCAATCTTCAAGAGGAACACACTCCTCTTTAGTAAGTATTCTATCTTCATGAATCCCCATCAGTCTGCAAAAGAGCTCCAAGCTACATACAAAGACACCTCTAAGGGCCAGGGACTAGCACTACTCCTTGAGATTCTCTATTTGGCACATCAGTGCCCCCAAACCCTGTCAAAATTTAAGAGCCAGGTCAAAAAAACTTTGATGCCCACTCCTACATACCTTCAGATCCCACTATTCATGCATGTCCAGCCAGTCTTCCACTACTTTTTACTATGCCTCACTGACAGAGTCCCATACTATACAGAATACTCATTCCCCAAAATTCGGAGAGAAATTCCACAGATTCATGTTGAACAGAGTCCTGAACTTCCAAGGTGCTGCAGCCAGCTCCTACACAGCTGGTTCAGTGGAAGGAGATAGTCTGAAGAGAGCTCACTCTCCCTTCACCCTATCTGAAGGGCGCTCCAAGACTGTTGCAGGCTCCTGTATACACAACTTGTTTAAAAAATAAGGGAACTGGGCTGGGCGCGGTGGCTCAAGCCTGTAATCCCAGCACTTTGGGAGGCCGAGGCGGGTGGATCACAAGGTCAAGAGATCGAGACCATCCTGGTCAACACGGTGAAACCCCGTCTCTACTAAAAATACAAAAAATTAGCTGGGCATGGTGACGCGTGCCTGTAATCCCCGCTACTCAGGAGGCTGAGGCAGGAGAATTGCCTGAACCCAGGAGGCAGAGGTTGTGGTGAGCCGAGATTGCGCCATTGCACTCCAGCCTGGGTAACAAGAGCGAAACTCCATCCCAAAAAAATAAATAAATAAAAATAAAAATAAAAATAAGGGAACTGAACCTGATATATTTATTTGTTTGTTTTTTATTTTTTAAGACAGAGTCATGCTCTGTTGCCCAGTCGGGAGTGCAATGGCACGATCTCAGCTCACTGTAACCTCCGCCTCCCAGGTTAAAATGATTCTCCTGCCTCAGTCTCCTGAGTAGCTGAGATTACAAGCGCCTACCACCACGCCCAGTTAATTTTTGTATTTTTAGTAGAGACGGGGTTTTGTCATGTTGGCCAAGCTGGTCTCGAACTCCCAACCTCGTGATCCCCCTGCCTCAGCCTCCCAAAGTGCTGGGATTACAGGCGTGAGTGGCCACGCCTGGCAAACCTGATATATTTAAAAGAACGGATGACAGGCTCTTGGCAGCAGAAATTGAGGTGGAGGAAAAGTTAAGGTAGGATTTCTGAGGATTTTAAAGTAAAGAGTCCATAAAATACAAAGAAAGTAATATATATCTTACTGAAATCCTTGTATGTCAACTATCTGATCCTTTCTATAATCCAAAAGCTGGTTCCAAACTAAAGAGGTAAGAATGCTAGAAGATGATTTAAGAAATCCCCAAGATTATTTACGACCCTAATCCTGAACTGTTTGCCCTATTCCTTTTTACATTCTACTCACTATCCAGATGCTCCAGGCTTATGACTTAATGATTTAGCTTCCTGCTTCAGCCTTGCCTCATCTTATCCTTCAGACATTTTGCTTATTTCTTTGCTTAGAATTCTACTCCACTATCAGTTATTCTGCCCTCAACTACCTGAAGCTAATAATATGCTTACCCTGATTCTTAACCTTTATCCTCAGGACACACACCCCCGCTTCATGAGCAAGTCTTTGTGTCAGGCATACCCTGGTTTCATGGATATGACTCAAGTATTTTAGATGGTTCTTCCAGGCAAACACAGGAATCACCAAAGATGGATGAAATAGAAAGAATAACAGTGAACCAAGGGCCACCGTTTAAACCTCACCTTGACATCCTAAAGTACACCTTCCTGGACCTCAGGTGCTGCCCCCAATACTCTATCCCCCTCCCTAGTGCCCCACCTCAAAGATCCTTCTAGATGCTGCTAAGCTTTGACTAGAAATTCACAGTAAGCACAACATAAGCTTTTGCACCACATAACTTACAGTCTAGTGAAGGACACAGACAAGAAAATAATTACAATACATATGACAATTAATGGCAATGCATGCAGAGCTTCAGGATTGAGGCTAACCAGGTGAAGTCATACTTAAGCTGTTGTAACTTGAATGATGAATAGGAGATATCCAGGCAGTGGCAGGGCATGTGAGGAAGGGTGTTCTAGGCACAGTTAAGAGCACATACAAAGGCCCTACAGCAAGAAAACACATCTAAAGAGATGTCATAAGCTGGAAGATGGGAAGGTCAAGATAGGGGACTGATGCAGATGATGCCAGAGAGGCCAAAAGGGCCTCAAAAAACAAATGAAGTT